AACCTTGATCCTTGACCTAATTACTAATGGGGAAAAGGGTGGACACCAGTGCACTGGGGGTTTGTGCCAGGTCTACGAAGGGAAACACTTTGACCAATTTAGTTCTGAGGCTTCTGCTGGATACTGCAGAGGGAGGCAGAATCTTACATGCCAGCCAGGGCAGACTTTGACCTTATGTCGGAACGGGGCCAGTGGCGGGAACGGGTTACATCTTGTCTAGCTGCAAGCTGCAGGTAGGAGAAAGAGCCCGGAGCAGGGAGGCCTATTAGATCACTGTGCAAGGACAGTGAGGCTAGCTCAGGTGGGGCAAGGTCCCTGGAAAGAATTCCCGTGTGAAGGTAGTGTTTGTTCACTGTGCTAGGAAGATTAATAAACATTTTTGGAACCAAGGCCAATAAATTGTAAAAAGTCCTGCTACATAGTTGGGGTCACAGGAAAGGAAGAAAAGGGGGTAAAGAAGGGGCTCTGCAGAAGAAGTACCAGAGGAAGTGCTTGGGGCAGGAAACAAATATGCAGACATGCAAACACTAGACTAAGTCCTTAGAAGTGTTTATTTTCCTAGGGAAATCATGTTAGACGTTATCATAAAATGGACATTCTTCAGATAGCTGGACATGCAACAGAAATATAAACACACTTGATCTTCATGTCAGATTTCCAGAGTTTTATCATCTTAGAAAAGCGATCAATCTTTTGACATTAAAAGGGAGAAAGAATTCAGTAACAGCGACGGAAAGCACCAGATTCGGATCCTCAGAGACGTCTTTAGACTGATTCAGAGATTAATAATAAACTTACCTGTTAATTAACACTGTTGAGAAAGGAAAATGCCACAAAACCCAGTCATGCAAAAACTGGACCTTCTGTTCTGGGGTAATACAGCTCCAAGTGAGAGAAAGGGCTAGCTCAGATCATTTTCACAGTAATCCTCACAACACCCCTGTGAGGTAGGTGGGACAGTAATATAATTATCTTCACTTAACATAAAGGCAGGAAAGAAGAGTGCCCACAAAGATGGAGACCATCCCCCGGTTACAGATCTCTCTGTGGAGACTCTTGAACAGGATCCCAACTTTCCTGACTAGAGAGATGTTCTGCTGGTAAAGGCTGTACAGACAGGAGTCTGTCTAGAGGTGAGAGTGCAAGAGCTTTGTACAGCTTTTCAAAATGACCAAGTCAGCCAGCTGACCATTAGAACGTACTGTGGCAAGTCCATTTCTGAACATTAACCTGTTAGGAAGAAGTTTATAGTTGCCAAGACAATACAGAACAAGACAGTTTTCTATGACTAATGACACTTAAAACCCAGGCAAACAAATAGAAAGCTAAAAAACTGTTCTTTAGAAAGGGACTTCTCAGTTGCCTAACTGAATTTTCAGATAGAAGCAAGAAAAATGAAAATGTAGCCCCAAGCCACTTCACCTTCAAGTAAAATGGGGAACCATCAGAGCTTCTAAAAAATTGGAGTAAAAAATATGCTCATTTGTTATGGAAAAATAGAAGTAATTTACAACATCATGAGAAATTATTACAATACTATTATCTGCACACTAGGTAATAGTATACTATTATTACAATATTTATTGTAATCTGCACACTACATAACAGTATACTATTATCTCGTGTGCAGGTATTGAATCTCAAATGGCCTTTGGCAATACTACAGATTTAACATTAGTTTCCAAAGCAATGCAGCACTGTCAGTAATTTACAGATTATTCTCTTAGACTGTTCACTCTGTAAACATATCCTTGTTCACTAGAATTTCACATTAACATTTTGGTTCCAGAAAATGTATGGAATGTGAGTTAACTTTTCTATTTGCAAATGCTGTAATTAAAATGTTTAAAACTAGCAGCTGATACAGTTTTGCATTATCTTTGGCTATAATTTTCGGAATTAAATTTTATATAATTTTCAGAATTAAATACTCAAATATAAATTTAATTAACATTAGACTCTAGACTGATGCCGATTCATTAAAAATGCAAATTCTAAAAGAAAAGCATTTTCATACAAAAACTGCACCTCCACATGCAATACAGTATCTTTGTTGAACACTCTAGTCATGACAGACATTGTACTCATCTAGCAGATTACCTGAGAAGTCTAGTTTCTATCACTTGTCAGTTACCACCCTCTCCTCCTTTTACAGGTGCAGCCCTGGTAGCATAGTGGTTCCGCATTGAGTCCACCAGGTGTTCTAGTGGACAAAGTCAGCAGTTTGAGTCCACCAGGTGTTCTAGTGGACAAAGATGAAGCTTTCTACTCAGAAACCCAATACAGGGTCACTGTGCATTGGAACTGACTTGATGGCACGCCACCATCACCACCTTCATTTCAATATAGAGAACGTTAGCACCCAGAGAGAATCAGTGACAAGAATCATAAGCCCATGTTTCTGACTCAAGTTCTCAGACAATTTTGTGCCCGGATTCCTGACAGTGACCTTGAGGCCATCAACCTGTGCAGGCCTCACATTCCTGGACAAGGATTTAACAGAACAGGTGAGGAAGGGCGTTCACCAGAGAGAGACCAGCAAATACAGTTCTGCTTTTCTCACGCTCAAAAAAAGGAGGAGTCATAAACTTGTGGAAAGTCTGTGTATGTAAGTCCTCTTTTGGGAACACACCACCAGCCTCACCTCTACTTAGAAGGCAGAACAAACAACTCAAACTAAAGAGTTCAAGAAATCATGGTTTTTAACAATGGGGTAAATGGTGAAAAGTGAAGGAGAAAGGCAAAGCTAGGGCTCAGCTGGAACATGGGATGCTCTTTCCTCAGTAAAAAGAAGCCTGGTGGTTAGGGTTAAGCACCGTCTCGTCACTTCTGATTTCATAGCGACCCTGTCTAGGGTTTCCGTGGAACAGCTGGTGGGTTTGAGCAGCCGACCTTGCAGTTAACAGTCCAGAGTTTATCCTATAGCACCACACACCAGGACCCCAAAGAAACCTGGGGAAACTGGAAAAAAAAAGAATAATACAAAGAAATGCAGATGAATGCCATGTGCCACGAGCTAAGTTGTGAGTGGTCCAGAGAGAAAGCGTCTGCTCTGATTCCAACCAACTATCAAATCTTCTGGGGTACAGATTGCTTTCTGCCCCATAAATTTTAAAAACAAGTCACAAAATCCAAATTAGAATATAAGTTTTTTAATTTTTATAAATAACTTATCTGTTACAAAGATAGTTTACCCAGCTAAATCACAAAACCATCAACTCAAGATATCCAAATTATGTTTTATTAATAAAACAAGTAAAAACTGATTTACCAATCTTCACATAGAACTGCAGATGAAGCTGAAAAACAAGGCCTATGTTTAAAACAGAATGCATCAAATGCAAGGGCTTTGGGTCTATTGTCTAATTAACTAGAACTGTCCTATTTCTCCTCCAAACAGAAACACAAAGCCTGGAAGGCCAGCCTTGGCTTGGCGCTCACCTCGATCACCTGGAACAATCCTGTTTCCTTAAAAACATCCACGTGCAAACCTAGACAGCGGACGACAGTCTCCAGGGCCTCCTAGCCTTTTGCTACATTTCAGCACTTCCCGAAGCCCCGTTTCTAAGCACTGATAGGTAGTTTCCTAATTCTGTCTTTTAAATGCACATCACAATTTCTTTTTCCTGATTTCTTTTTGTTCTGTACGTTCCTGATCATCTGAGTATTGATTTTCCCTATAAACTCTATCATCGAAGTGCAGAGAGACATGCTTGAGGTTACTTCAGTGTTCAAGTTTCTGTTGGTTTTTTTCCAGCTTTTCTTCGGTTGTCCTAAATACGACGACTGCCTTGTTTATTATATAAACACAGGTGAGAACTGCCACCATGTCAGGTTCAGAAATCGACTGCCCAAACAGCACAGCATTTCAGCTCTCCACAAAAAGGGCTGGAGGCGCTGCTGCGCTTGCTGATTTTGCAATTGTCCTTCCCCAACCACGGTCTCTGGGGAAGTTGTGCAGGACAGCAGGCAGAGGAAGCCAGCCCAGCCTGGCCGCTCTGTCACTGGCTTACAAATACCTTTGGGTTGGATACTTCCTGTGGAAGACCAACACTGTGCTGTGACTTGCAGGCCCAGCTCTTTCCCGTGTCCTGTGAGACGCTGCGCTGCACCTGCGCGTGTCTTCACAGCACACAGGCACGGCTGAGGCCAGGACAGACCAAGGAGAGGAAAGGGATTCTGTGCATAGTTTCATTTCATTAATGCTTTTTTTTATTTTAAGGCATTGCTTCTCTCAGGAAAGGCATAAAAAGGGACATGATCGTGCTTACTCACTAAAAGGGAAAAAGAAAATTAGTTAACAAAAGACTATTACGCTATACATATAGAAATATAGGAAAATAATAAAGGAGCCAAGAAATCACTTAAAGCAGACTCGAGAGATCTGTACAGTAAGAAAAGCTCTGGGGGTTTCACTGCATGTTGTACACACAGTGCATGCTGCTCTCCTTTGCATCTTTAGACTTTAGGTGTTGGCTTCACAGAGTGAAGACGTTTTCAGGGGAGACAAAGACAAGGCCACGAGTACCACAGATGTGTGACGTTCTTCCCCTATTCATTGGCACTATGCGGCAGCAAACAGTTTCTTTCAATAGTTAAACCTTGTTCCTTTTCCTCGTGTATGTAGTGTTTCACTGAAAGCTTTAGGGAGAAAAAAAAGCGATCATTCTATTTCCTTCCTCCTGTCAAAATTCAGTAGGGACATGAGGGGAAAAGTACTGAGAATGACTCACAGTGGGATACTGCTAACACCGTACACGATCTGGCAGTGGGCAACCCAGTCTTCCAGCAGATTACCTTTCAGGATGGATGTCACTGCCTAGGACACGCTACTGAGGTATTATTAGCTCTGTGGGCTGACACTGAACATTAGCACACCACCATCTTGCCACATCTCCAATTTCACAAAATCTTATGTAGCAGTGAAACTTTGCCCCTGATGACAGACTAGATTCTTGAAGTTCAGATGTGGATTTAGAGGAGATATAAGGCCTTTTGGCTCAGAAATGTCTTGGCATGTCACACTCTTCACAACGGATTAAGGCTGGATGGTTTAAAAACGTACAGGCAGTGCAGTTCCACTGCGCCCCCTCATCATCTTCTGTGTCTTGACTCTTTGGTGTTTTGATGGTGGACCGTTGATCTGTAAGTGAGCCAGAAAAAAAAAAAAAAAAAGTTAAAACTCACCAATTCTGATAAAGTCCTGCAGTTGACCCTCCTAACTGCACCACAGAGCCCAAGGCAGCTGTTGAAGCCCAGGGAACAGCCAGTGGAATCAAACATGTGATCATCATGAGTGCCTGACCTCTCCTCTGGGGCTCAATCACCTCAATATTGTCATAAAAGGGAAAAGAGTATCATTTTCTCCAATTTATAGCAGGGATTTTCAGAAAATCAGTTTCATATGACAAGTAACAGCGAGGATTCCCAACATGTCACTTCAGAGCACGAGAACATGGACCGCATACCCAAGGGTCATGAGAGCTAAAGCTTCATTTCCCACTGAAAAAGGACTCGGGTTTCTGTTTTCAACCAGGAATGGCCATTTTTCTGTCCTCTATCTGCTGGAAGCATAAGCTTTGAATCATACAAAGAAGATATACAGATGATCTGATTTCTAAAGTCTCAGTTATATATCAACCAGAAACACTGGAGAAGTAAGCGAGTGTGAAAATTTTACTTTCTTTCTCATTTTATTTTTGATATTATTTATTTAGTATGGCAGAGTGAGAAGGATACTAGCTTGAGTTGTGAAAACTGAGTTCTGTTCCTGACTGCTACAAAGTCGACTTGCTCTGTGCACCACAGGTAAATCACATATTTCTAGGTGTCTTCTTTCCTACCGAGCAAACTCTGGAAGGTGACTGTGGCCTAAAAGGCCAGTGCTCCAGAGTGAGGAGTGGACAGCGGTGGCCGAGGTATATGAGATAATCATGCTTCTCAAAGGTGGTTTCTAAAATGAAATTATACTTATGAAGCAACTTATTTGGATCCCATTAGAAATTTAGAATAGTGTTGCTAGAAATAGTTTTTTGGATGGTTTATTTGTGAAAGTTCACCAGTTGCTCCTTGGAAACCCTAAACAGGGTAGCTACAAGTTACAACTGACTTGATGGCACTTAACAAGGTAAAAGTAGCATTCGTTACTGAATTTCTCCTGCCAAAGTTTATGATTTTAAACAATGCATATTAACTTGCAAATTTTAAATAATCTACTGAATGTAAATGATACCTCTTCTGCTATTCTAACACAGACACCATTGAGCTTTAGTACATGAAAAATGGGAAATCAAGTTTTATAACAAATTTGAAACAATTAAGTGGTGTTTGGTACTCTGACCTCCTTTGCTGTTGTTGCTCCTGCCAAGTTGATGCTGATTCAAAGCAACCCCAAGGGTCTGTCAATGGCTGAGGTTTTGGAAGTAGACTGCCAGTCCTTCCTTCTAAGACAGCTCTGGGTACACTCAGATCTCCAACTTTCTGGTTAACAGCTGCACGCTTAACTGCTTGTGCCACCCAGGAACAAGGTAATCAATGGGGGACCCTAAATTTTTTTGAATAAAATGGTTTTCTTACATCTAACAATCTCATTAGATACTTACAAGTATTTTTATTCGAGTTATTTGGAAGGTTAAATATCAACCAGAATTGAGGGAAACAGGAAGTCGGATTGCAAAGGATGCCATGTTATTTCTACATTTCATTTTAGCAGTTCAAAAAACCTACAGGAAGACGAACTGATTTCAACAACTAACTAACTAAAAATCTCTGTAAATGAAACAAATGGCTTCTCACCTTAGCCTCAAGGCAAAACATGACAGATTCCTTATTTCCCAAAACACTCAGACAGCATACAAAATTCTCTCTTTGGTATAAAAGTTTCTAAGTAATTGGATTTTTTCTTTCTTCCTGTCATTCATCAAATTATTCATTAAAATACAATTTCACCAAGGTGTCATGCTCATGATTAGTTTACAGTTTTACAAATACTAGTTCTTGTGCTTGATGATCTTTTGTCACCAAGATCTGCTGCTTTGGGGAGTACAAGATGACCCCGGAGCGCTGCATACTACAGACTCATTCAAGAATGGCAAAATCTTTAGGACTTTTACTGAAGTCTCCTTTTTCAAAACGTTACGTTTTCACATTTAATGGATACACTACCTTTGGGTTTCGGTGGCACAGGACCTACAAATCCAATATTGTCATAAAAGTTATGAATAGCGCTGGGATTAAAATGTGGTCCTGAAATAAATAACAATTAAATATGTCAATGTTTATTGCTCAAAAAGATTTAATTAAATTTTTTAAAAAGCAAGCATTTTCTTCATCCTAAGAAAAGTCACAGTATGAATAGAGTAAATGCTCTACTTAGCACCTTAAATCTTAAGTTACATGTAAAACTTTCATACCAGTTGAGGGAGACCTTAGATGACTCACAAACAGAGGCAAACAAACTGGGCAAGACGTCAAAGTCACACTGATAATATATTAATGGAACTAGAGCCTTGTTCTATGTGTCAAAAAATTTTAAATTTACAATGTATTTTAAAATGATCAAACATGGACATTGAGTAAATGAATGGTAGGAAAACCTCACATTACTATAATGGTTCAGATTTATTGAACAAAAGGAACCGGTTCAAGGATTACATATAGTTTCTAGACCGGTACTAACTTTCTTTTTCCTCTCCCAAATGAAATTATGGCATTTTTATATGAATGTCTCAAGATAAAATAAAATAAAGCTAAACATCTTTCAGACGAGTGGATTTCAGAGCGTACTCCAAAGTATGATCAAGGACTTCTTTTCTGTTGGTTTCCTCCTCTATCTGGTTGTTTCCATTTTATATATTTCTATTACTTCTCCAACTCCAGAATTATGTTTAAATTTCAAAATTTCTTTTCAGTCTATTAAATTGTGAACATTTTTTAGTACACTGAGGCAATTACAGCTCGTCACTAACATCTCTCAAGTATGAAAAGTTATCATCCTCCTCAATATGTGTCTGGTGTGATGCTGTAGGATAAAGCACTGGACTGCAAGGTTGGTCTGAACCACAGGTCAGTGGTTCAAACTCACGAGCCACTCCTTGGAAACCCTATACAGGGTCACTATGAGTCAGAACTGACAACAACGAAAATGTATACGCCATATTTATGTTTATTTTCCTCTGTATTTTATCAAATAAGATAGTGCCATTGAAGTGGAGATACCTCTTTATTTGTTTTTTAATGGCATGATTCTTGAAAGGCAAAAATAAAAAGAGGAAAAGGGTGTAAATGTAATTTAATCTTAATGAGTATCATTTTCAAAAGAACAAAACCCTCCCCATTGCTGCTGAGCTGACTCTAACTCAATCCGACAGAACAGAACCGGCCTCACAGGGGATTCCAAGACCAAAACTCTCTCTGGAAGCACCTGCCACCTCTTTCTCCCGTGGGTCCCAATAGCTGAGCACTTCACTGTGGTGCATCAGGGAGCCTCGTTATTTTACCAGATCCTACTAATATATAAAAGCAATACTTTTCATAATACAGTCAGACATACTATCTTCTCTTAATACAGGACCAAAGTCGACTTGAGTGACACAAAAATTGACCAAGTCACCCTCTAATACATCATATAGCATTCTATTTTTTGGGAAAGAGAAAATCAAACCCCACCAATTCTTTAACACTACCTGGCTCCCAAGGCAAGTATTCTGAGACGCTAACATTCTGATCGACAAGTCTGTTTTGAGCCACAGAAAACACAATGACTTGGGCTGGGCAGCCACTGGATGACTTTACCTCGGGCTTGAAAAAGATCAATTTCTTTGGTCAGGCAGTCAACGTCAATCTGGAGTTGTCTATTACAGCTTCTCAACTGCTGCATTTCTTCGAGCTGAAAAAGAATCCCACATAAGCATTGAATTCTCAGGCCCTGAGTTAAGAAAGAGTGGTATTTGGTGGGAAATGGAAAAGACACAAAAGTAAGTGACTTAAAAGCATTTCTAGAAAAAGAGACCAAGTCTTTCCACTTTTGCCGCCTGTCTACTCTCCTGCTCAAGCATGCAGGACTGACTACTGAGGAAGACTTACAGAAGGGATCTGGGATATGGAATTCGATCTTTTCAGGCGCCTTCGAGTTAGATTGTTTTCCATTTCATTGACCTCGGATTTTAATTTATCCAGCTTTTTCTTTTGAATTTCAAGCTCTCTTTGAAGCCGTTCCATTCTGGCCTTCTGGTGTACCAATAAAGCTGCAATACATATTAACAAGCATGAGGACCCACCCATTTAGTAGACTGCCCTTTAAAAGCAGTCTCAAAAAAACAAAACAAATGAATGAATAGTTCTGTGATAAACAAGAATTTCGCAAGAATCCCCAAACCACATTAAAACAGAATATTATGAGTTTAAACTTCCCCAAAAAATTAACTTGAAAATTGTTTGAACAGACAAATGTCACTCTCTTTAGATTTCTTTTTCTTTTTTAGGGTGTGGATAAACCCACTTTACGGTTGGAGATAGCATTTTGTAGCCTAGGAGGGGGCTTAAAGAAGTTCATGGAAAAACTGAATAAAAACGAAATAATGGCAGTTTCCCACAAACTCTCTGAAAACTCCTTGTATTAACTATTCTAACAGCTTGAGTAGTGTCAACTGATTTACTCATGGCTACTTAATTCGGAACTACAAGATCGGTGGTTCAAGCTCACCAGTCGCTCCTTGGAAACCCTATATAGGGTCGCTCTGGGTCGGAACTGACTTGACGGCACTTAACAACAACAAACTGAATTCATATCCGAACTCGTGACAGGACAATCCTTTGACTCCTCCAAGAAGTCTGATGAGTCTGTTGTACACAAGAGGTACTCTAGTATGAACACTTCATAATTCCATAGATATTTTAGGAGGGAATGTGGAGGAGGTCAAACCCACTTTGATGTCTGATACAAATAAAACTGGTAGACGAATTCAGTGCATATGAATGTTAATGTTAACTGCTTCAAATGGCAAAATAGAAACAGTGGCACTATTTAGATAAACCAAAATACTTACATTTTCTTATTATATGATTACAGCTTGTGAAAATATTTCCCCACTATTTTTTAAAGAAGCAAAATCAACAATCAATCTTGTAGCATGAATGACAAGCTACTTTACTTAGGAAACCTTATTACACCATAAAAATTAGCCTTGGGGCTTCCACCAGTCCTATCAGACCAGTAAGGCTGTTCTGATTTTGAGATTTGTTCCCCACTCGACCCAGGACCTCCTATTGTGATCCCCTTCAGAGTAGTCGGCAGTGGTGGTCCGAGTCAGAGAGGCTGGGGCTCCTCTGGACAAATTGTTTCCTTATATGTTTGATTTTCTTCACTCTTCTTTGCTCCGAATGGAGGAGAACAATAGTGGCACATTACCTGGTTGCTCAGAAGCTTTTAAGATCCCAGTTGCTACTCCCCAAAGTAGGCTGCAGGACATTGTCTCTGTGGACTATGTTATGCTAACTGACCTTGGTGTGGCCCTACCTCCTGCCCAGCACCCCCCTCTTGAGATTCTGGTCCTGAGCCCCCAGGCCCAGCCACCCATCTAAAGGGTGAGTCATAAGTTCTTGAAAGTATTTAGGAAGATGAACCATAAATATTTTAAAATCAAATACGCATGTTAAATATTTTGGAATCACTACTGTTGTTATTAAGTGCCATGGAGTCAGTTCCGCTTTATGACCTTATATAGGGTTTCTGAGAATCAGTGAATGGGTTTAAACTGCTGACTTTGTCATTTGAAGTCCAGTGCTGATCCTCCAGTCAGAAACGCACTACAGGAACAATCAAGCAAAACAGATACAGCATTGGAGACAACACAAAACATGCAAGAGAGGTCCAGACAATCAACACTAAAATATCAGAAATGGACAATATACTCAAAGGGCAAAGGAGCAGAGCTGAAGGCATGGGAGCCAGAATCAACGAACCTGAAAATAAATCTCTCAATACTGCTAAGATAGAAGAACAGGCAGAAAAAAGAAAGGAAAAAAAAATCTTAAGAAAGCCTAAGATTCATGTAGGACAACATGAAGAGGAATAAACCTGAGGCTGACTGGAATTTCAGAACAGAAAGAGATAAAGAAAAGCATAGAAAAGATATTAAAGAGTTGCTGGAAGAAAATTTCCCTAATATTTTGAAAGGTAAGAAGATAAGCTTTCAGGAATGAACCCCAAGCAGGACAGACCTCAAAAGGAAATCACCAAGACATATCATAATCAAACTCTCCAAAATCAAAGACAAGGAGAGACTTCCGAAAACTGCTAAGGAAAAAGAAGTGTTACCTACAAAGGAAAGCCAATAAGATTAAGCTCTGATTTCTCAGCAGAAACCAGGCAGGAAAGAAAGCAATGGGAGGATATACACAAAACTCGGAAAGAAAAAAAACTGACAACCAAGAATCAGATATCCAGCAAGGCTGTCAATCAAATATGAAGGCGAAATCGGATTATTTCAGGATACACAGAAATTAAGGGATTTTGTAAAGGTCAAGCCAATGCTCCAACACATACTGAAAGGAGTTCTTTGGACTGAGACTCAACAAGAGCAGACAACAACCAGAGATTTACAGATGTGAAAACTCCACCGGGAACTCAGTCCAGAGATGGAAGACTACAGAACAGTACAAAACTACAAGAATGAAATTAGGAGATCTGGGAGGTCAGTCTATGATCAGGAAGACTAAAAAGCAAAAGAAAGGAAAAGTGTAATAACAGAGATCCAAGTGGTGAGGAAGTCAGGTAGATCTCATGATAAAACAGATAGTCATAAAAAGAAGAAAAACTTAATAAAATATAGGGTAACCTTAAAGAAACTTAAAATCAAGAAAAGGGAAATCCAAGATTATGGAAACATTAAAACTATGAAGAAACTGACAAGAAAAAGAACACATAAAAATGAACTCAGCACAGGAAAACACACAGAACAAAGCACCAGTAGCACCACAAAAAACAAACAGCAAAATGACAGCAGTGAATTCATACCTATCGATAATTACACTGAAGGTCAACCAATTAAATGCACTATTCAAGAGACAGAGCGCGTAGCAGAACAGGTAAGAAAACAGAGTCCTTTAATATGTTGTCTACAACGCATAGCTATTGATAATTACACTGAATGTTAATCGATTAAATGCACTATTCAAGAGACAGAGTGTAGCAGAACAGATAAGAAAACAGAATCCTTTAATATGTTGTCTACAAGATACACACCTAACACGAAAAGACAAAAGCAGATGAAAAATTAAAGGATAGAAGGAAAATATACCAAGATAACTGCAATAAAAAACGAGCTAGAGTAGCAATATTAATCTCTGAAAAAAGAAATTTTAAAGCAAAAACCAGCATAAGAGATAAAAAAGCACATTATCTCATGGTTAAAGGATCAATTGAATAAGAGGACATAACCATAATAAATATCTATGCTCACAATGAAAGAGCTCCAAAATACATAAACCGTAATAGAATTGAAGAAATAGACAACTCTACAAGAATAGTTAAGTACCGTGGAGTCAGTTAGGCAAATCTGCTGCACAAGACCTTTTTAAAGTGTTAAAGATGTCAGCTTGAAGACTAAGGTGTGCTTGACCCAAGCCATGGTATTTTCAATAACCTCATATGCATGCGAAAGCTGGACAGTGAATAAGGAAGACCACAGAAGAATTGATGCTTTTGAGTTATGGTGTTGGAGGAGAATACTGAAAGTACCATGGGCTGCCAAAAGAACCAATAGATCTGTGTTTGAAGAAGTGCTGCCAGAGTGCTCCTTGGAGGCCAGGATAGCCAAACTTCGTCTCTCATACTTCGGACATATTGTCAGGAGAGATCAGTCGCTGGAGAAGGATATCATGTTTGGTAAGGTGGAGGGTCAGAGAAAAAGAGGAAGACCCCCAATGAGATGGATTAGCCAAGTGGCAGCATCAATGGGCTCCAGTGTGGCAACGATAATGAGGTTGGCCCAGGATCGGGCAGTGCTTTGTTCTGCATAAGGTTGTGCCTCGATGGCACCTAACAACAACAACAATGACAACACAATAGTGGGAGATTTTAATACACCACTTTTGAAAGGAGAAAGAACAACCAGAAAGAAACTCAACTAAGAGACAAAGGAACTAAACAACATAATCAACCAACTTGACCTCAGAGATCTTTACAGATCATTCAACCCAGTAACAGCACAATATACTTTGTCCAGTGCACATGGAACATTCTCCAGAAATGACCATGTGTTAGGCCACAAAGCAAGTCTCAATAAATTAAAAAACATCAAAGTATTACTAAGCATCTTCTCAGATCACAATGCTATGAAATTAGAAATCAACAAAAGGAAGATCAAGAAAATAAAATCAAATACAAGAAAACTGAACAACATCCTGCTTAAAAGCTACTGGGTAGTAGAACAAATAAAAAGTGAAACTAAAGGGTTTAGAGTCTGCAGACTCTAGTGGCAGTGGGTAACAGAAGGTAAATAGAACACAAAACTTCTTAAAGAACAAAAGGGGTCATAAGAAAAATTTGATTAAATCTGGAGGGCAGGTAAGGAGGGTGAAAGTAAAGAAATACAGAACAACAACGAAAAGAGACAAAGTAATCCTAAAAAATACATCAGAAATCATAATAAATGCAATCTAATTAAATATCTAATGAAAAACAAGAGCTCAGCAGACTAGATTTAAAAATTCCATCTATATTTTGTTTATACAAAACACACTTGAAAATAGAATTCACTCACCCATTCATTTAAATAAGCTGAAGTACTACTATGTGTCTGATGCGGTTCTAGACATTTGTGCCACTCATGAACAAAAGAGGCAAAGTCCCCTGCCCTTATGGGCTTACTCATCAGTGGTAGGTCAGGGGAAAGGGTGGAGAATAAGAATATAAACAAGGTGCACACAAACTATGGCCAAATCTGTGGGTCAAATCTGGACTTTGGCCTGTTCTGTAAGTCAAGTTTTACTGAAGTACAGCTACGCTCACTCATTTGTTTACTTATTGTCTTATGACTGTTTTTTGCTGTAACAGCAGAGCTGAAAAGCTGTGAAAGAGTCCATGTGGCTTGCAAAATCCTGACAGATCTTGGCCCTTCACTAGATCATGTAAGACTTGTTGACCCTGGAGTAAAATAGGGGCCACCATGGCTCAGAAGGTACAAAGTGGAAGAACTGCAGTAAAACAGACCCTGCGCTTCAGGCACCCCCAGCCATTGCTGGA